GATCATTATATAGTGATCGAATGGTCGTGATAAAAGTTTGGTGAAATCCAAATTTCTGTAATACGCTATATAGAAACTCCCAATTGACCCGATCGAAAGCCTTTTCTGCGTCAAGGCTCAGCAAGACTGCCTGGGTGTTATTTTTAACTATATGTTCGGTAACATGGAGGGTTCTACGAATGTTGTCCTGAGTCTGCCTTTGTTGTATAAAACCTGTCTGATCCAAACTTATTATCTGGGGAAGGATGTTTTCAAGTCTTTTTGCCAAAATATGAGTGAAGATCTTATAGTCCTGGTTCAGTACACTTTTCGATAGCTTCCACAATCAAGCTTATCTTTTTTAATTTCTTCATTTGTAATTTCCTCGATTAGAGCCCTATTTTGATCATCCTTCACTTTTGGTAATTTTATCAGGTTGAAGAAAGCATCCATCCTTGTTTCATCTATTCTAGGCTGAGAGTATAGGTTTTTATAAAAGGTTTCAAATGATTGATGAATTTCTGTAGTTTTACAGTGTATAGAATTTGTTGTAGGGTCCTTTATTTTGAAAATTGTGTTTTCTGCTTGTTGCTTTTTTAGCCTGTAAGCCAGTAATTTAGTTGATTTCCCTCCCGCTTCATAATGTCTTTGTTTCAAGAAGATTAACTTTTTCTTAATGTAATTTAAATATATTTCATTTAGTTAATTCTTTGTCCTCTCTATTTCCATTTTTGTACCCTGATAAAGTGTTTTTTTATGGATGTCTTCTAGTTGTTTTAATTAAAAGTTTAAAAGTTTGTAACCTATCAATCTTTTCCCTCCTCTGTTTTTTAAAATTTGAACAATATCCAATATTTTTCCCCCTTAGAACAGCTTTACAGGCGTCCCAGAGGATCGGTGGGGACACTTCCCCGTTGTCATTGTCATCCAGATAGTTTTTAATGTCCTTCCTGATTTGCTGTATTCTTTTTCTCAGAGCCTAGTATTAAATTTAGTGATACTGGTGTATGGTCCGACAGATCCATGGTCCCAATACTGCAGTTCAACACACTAACCAAATCTCTTTGGAACATAAAAAAGTAGTCAAGCCTGGAATAAACAGAGTGTGGGTGAGAGAAAAAGGTGTAATCCCTTTTGGTCGGGTTCAGTTCTCTCCATATGTCTAAAAGTCCCAGATCCTCCAGCATCAATTTGATGTTTTTGGTAGTTTTTTTCTCTCCTGTGATGCAAGGCTTTGAAGAGTCCAGAGCAGGTTGGAGTCTAACATTAAAATCACCTCCACAGATAAGGATACCTTGAGCTTCAGAAATTACTAATCCAAAAATTTGTTTATAAAATTCCCAATCTGATCCTGGGGGGACATTTAAAAAGGTAAATAAAACGCCCTGTAAATATCCCCGGACCAGTACAAATCTTCCATCAATATCTTTTTTTTCATATAAGCACTCAAAGTTTAATTTACTAGAAATTAAAGTTGCTACCCCTCTCTTCGAGCCCTGCCCACAGGAGGATGAATACTGTTTATATTTCCATCTCTTGAGTTTTTCATGCTCCAATTCTGTTAGATGCGTCTCTTGTAAGAGAGCAACTTCCACTCCCTCCCTCTTCAGTTTTGCGAAAACCTTGCTCCTCTTAATTGGGTTTCCCAG